AAGGGGCCCGAGAAATTCATGGGGGGGGGTGGAGCCAAGATAGCAGAGTGAAAGCAGCAACTTGCTTGAGTTCTCCCCCAAACTCCTTCAAATACCTGTAAAAAATGGCTCTAAACAAATTCTAGAGCAGCAGACCCCACAAAAAGACAGAGTGAAACAAATTTCCAGCCCAAGACAACCTGGATGGTTGATTGGAAAGGCCTATTGCGCCAGGCTGGTAGAGGAGTGCGATTCAACGTGGGCACACAGTCAAAAGACCAGGCCTCAGCAAACCTGGAGCAGGCCTCAGAAGACTGAATCACAGGCAGCTGTGGCAGTTTCCAGACTTCTCAACCCACAAACACCGAAGACGACTTAGAAGGTCAATGGGAAAGGTCTGTCTGACCAGGTGAGAAAGGAACTCAGTCTGGCCCCAGTCCCAGCCCAGCCCTGGGGTATAGCAGCTGCTTCCAGAGCTCTCAGCCCACAGAAAGAGGGGGGGGGATCAAGTGGCTGATCAGAGGGGGACTGCAGAGATCTCTTTGCTGGCACTGAGGCAGGATTCTCTTGCTTTGCCTGTGCTCGGATCTAGGTCACAGGTCTGAGTGGTGGTCCTGGGGCAAGGAAGAGCATTGGCATGGTAGAGCGCGTGGTGGTGGAGGAAAGCAAATCCTCCTCACAGTTCCAAGGCAGAAAAGAGTGCTGGTGGTCACTCACAGACCAGAGTACAAGCCAGGAGAGGAGTAAACACCTCGCCCCTTGTCATACCACCTTGGAAGGACTGAAAATTTACAGGTCCCTACAAGTATCTCTGAAAACAGCTACACGGAGCTTGGGACAGTACATTCTCCACACTGGAAGCAGACTCTTACCTTAACAAAGAGTTTAAAAGTCAAACAATTGGCTGAGATCATGAGAAAACAGTGCAAAAAAAGTCAGGCCATAGAATCTTACTTTGGTGACAAAGAAGATTAAAACATACAACCAGAAGATGACAACAAAGTCAAAGCTCCCACATCCAAAGCCTCCAAGAAAAATATGAATCAGTCCCAGGCCACGGAAGAGCTCAGAAAGGATTTTGAGAAGCAAGTAAGAGAAATGAGAGTGATGTAAGAAAATCATGAAAAACAAGTCAACACCTTGCTAAAGCAGATTCAAAAAAATACTAAAGAAAATAACACCTTAAAAAATTGACTAACCCAAATGGCAAAAGAGGTCCAAAAAGCCAATGAGGAAAAGAATGCCTTAAAAAGAAGAATTGGCCAAATGGAAAAGGAAGCCCAAAAAGGTCACTGAAGAAAATACTTCCTTAAAAATCAGAATGAAGCAAATGAAAGCTAATGATTTTATGAGAAATCAAGAAATTGTAAAACAAAACCAAAAGAATTTAAAAGACAATGTGAAATATCTCATTGGGAGAACAACTGACCTGAAACAAAGGGGATCAGGAAGGGGTAGGCAGAGAGGTGGGAGGAAAATCAGGAAAGAACCATGACAGAGAGAAGAAACCCAGAGAGGCGAGGGTCTCCAGGAGGAAAGTGTCAGATGCTAAGGAGAGGTCAAGGAAAGTGAAGGCTGAGAAAAGGCTGTTGGGCGTGGAGATCCCCAGAGGCAGGGCTGCATTCCAGATGGGCTCTAACCTGGTCCCATCCCATCCAGAGGCCCGTGTTCAATTCCAGGAGTCTCATTTGAGGAAGAATGATGACAAGCTGGGAGATATTCAGAAGAGGGCATCCATGACAGAGAAGGTAATCAAAATCATAGAGATTTCACACATCAATCAGTTATTGAGAGATACATAGAAGAAGGCAGAAGGCAACTCAGGAATAACACAATCCCATTCAATTAAATGTATACTTTTTAAAACCACATGCAAAAGAAGCTTGGGGCTTCCTAGCCAACCCTTTCTGTTGTTGTTGTTTTTATATAGAAATGTTCATGTTTGTTACTCTTAAAGACCATAAAAAAGGGAAAATGTCTAAAAAAGAAAAAATCAAAACCTTCTCTTATCAATTGAAAGAAACAGGGATGTTTAGCCCAAAGTGGAGACTCGGGGGAGCTGACTGTCATTAAGAAGAGGTGTTAGACGTGTTTCGCTTGGCCCATGAGACCAGCCCTCGAGTCAAAGAGACAAACGTAGGCTGGATAGAAGATGAGCCCTGCAAACACACAGAGCTGCGCCAAAGGCAGAACTGGCTGCCTCAGATGTGGTGAGCTCCCCTCTCCATGGAGGTATTCAGAGAGCGGTTGGATAATCACTTGTCAGGTGATGGAGATGGGGATTCCTGTTCAAGTAGGAATTTAACAGCACAGGTAACCTCTGACCTCATTCCAATCCAAAAGTTCTGTGAACACCCAGTGCACGTGGACAGCCTCACGTATTAGCATCTTCCTCACTGTTATCCCATATGCTCACCCAGAAGCCTCCTCCTCCTTATTCGGTTTCCCATTGGGAAGAGGCTGCCCTGACTAACATGGAAATATATGCACACTCGGCAGTTTAAGTTTTCATTATAAATTATTAACTTGGCTTTCTGGTACAAATCAGTCTTACGGGAGTTGGAAGAGCCCGAGCCACTTTTCTGGAGCCTGCTCAAACCTGATAATAATGACACATTTCTGTGGCACTTCATGGTTTGCAAAGTGCATTTTTCACTGGTCTCTAGAGCTGGGAGCGTAAGTTATAAGAAACGGGCCCTGCAAGGCTAAAGGAGGGGCCGCTGATCAGTCAGCTGCTTAGTGCAGGTGGTACTCTTCAGAAACAGGATCACTGACTGCAGATGCCATGATCTTGCTTCCACATCAAAGGACTCTCTTCAACAAGCTGACCTCTGGGCTTCTAGAGCTGCAGCATGAGCCCGGTTAATCAATCAATATGCGTTTATTAAGCACCTATGTGCCAGGCACGGTGAATGAATGAATGAATGAAAAGGCATTTAATAAGCAACTTGCCAGGCATGGCTCTAGGTGCCGGAGATACAAAAACAAAAATGAAGGAGTCTCTTCTTCAAGAAGCTTCTATTCTAATCAAAAGGGGAGGCATGTACATATAAATAGAGCGTTAATATCTTGAGAATAAATAAAAAATAAATACAAGCCAGTTAACGGAAGACAGCAGTGTTTCATTTTTCTGTTTATATCCCCAGTGCATAACACAGTGCCCTGCACACAGCAGGCACTTGTGTGTTGAATTGAATTGAACTGGGGAGTTGAATGTCTGAAAATAAAAGTTAAACTCAACCAAAAGGTAAAAAAGTTTAGGGTGGAATAGTATTTAAGGTGGCCAGACCATTAAAGAGGGTTTCCTTATTCAAGGGGAAAGTTCTCCTAGTGTTCTTATTTGTAGTTAACTCTTTGTTCTAATTTTGTCAAACCCCGAGTGCCGCATGGCCTCCTCAAAGAAATCCAAGGATGCTCAGAGAGATAGGACTAAAAATTCACACAGTAAAAACAAAGTGGATGAAGAACATGAATTTTCCAAAATACAAATTATGAGATGAACAGCCCATTGATTATACATTGTTACACTGATCTTGTATGGAAGTGCAGGTGGATGACCAGCTTGGAAAAGACACGAAAAGGAAGGAAAGGATGACTAGTTTTTGAGAAATCGTGTTTCCTGAGCAGTTTCCTGATACAAAAGCTGATTTTTAGTGAGTCACTATTCTCTTCAACATACAGCACAAATCAGGGAGCAGCACCATAATCTCGTGTGAATCAAACTGCAAAGAAATGTAAAAGACGGTGCCTGCTCTCAAGGAACTCACAGTCCAATGTGAGACAAGACCCAGAAGCGGTTCCAGCTGCAGATCAGATGATGGCTGCAAAGCAGATGTTACTGCATCTTCTTTAATGATTTCTGATGTTGAGCCACCACCCAGGGCCAGGGACTTTGGTGGGGAGACCTTTCTTTTCTGGGTCTTCAGTAGTTGTGGCTACATTACATCAGAATGTAAGCTTCTTGAAGGAACACAACCAGTCAGTGCCTAAGGAGGTAATTTTGCTTTTTCTTTATATCTCCAGCACTTAGCATAGTGCCCAAAACATAGTATGCACTGAATAAATGCTTGAATAATGAGACTGGATTGGATTGCCAGCCACAGCATAGAGGCTGGCCAGCTAATAAGGTCTCCCATTCTCTAAACAACAATTCTCAAATTTTTTTTATCTCAAAACACCTTTACAACCTTAAAAATTATTAAGGATCCCCTCCAAGAGTATTAGTTTATGCAGGTTATAGCTATTAATATTTACAATGTTCAAAATTAAAATATCTTATGTCTGAATGCAGACTGAAGCATACTATTTTTCACTTTCTATCTTTTTTGTTTGAGTTATCTTGCATAAAATTACTAGTATGGAAATGTTTTACAATTGCACACATGCAACTTATATCAGACTGTTTACCAACTCAGGGAGGGGGAAGGGAGGGAGGAACAGAATTTGGAACTCAAAACTTTTTGTTTAAATGTTAAAAATTGTTTTTACACGTAATTGGGGAAAATAAAGTATTATTTAAAAATTAAAACATCTTAGTAGTATTATAAAAATAATTTTGGCCTCAAGAATCCTCTGAAAGCATCTTGGGGACTCCCAAGGGTCCCCACTTCAAGAACTGTCGCTCTAGAATCCTTTAGTAACTAGGCACAGGGTCAAGAAGGGGTCTCACTGGCCCTGATTTGCAGAAGCTCATGCTTTGTAAGAGATGAGTTATCAGCCTGGGGGGCAGAATTAGATCTTTGGGGGACAGAGCTGGGTTCATGCCCCTCACCTGTTCCAGGGCTTTCTCCTGAGGTGAAGCTTGCCCAGAAGATACTTAGGGCCAAATCTCTGAGTCCCTGGAAGCAAAGCCCCTTACCCCACTGCCATACTCCACCTCTGTTAGGTTGAGGTTCAGAATCCATGATGGCTTTAATCATTAATCATTTAAATGCCTGGGTAAAGAGAAGGCATTATTTTTTGGGGATCCCAAATATCATTTTTCCATTAAACTGGTATAAATATTTGTTATTTCTACTCACCTGAAATACTCTGTTTTTTAAGTACATGGTGCCATATCCTTCTCTGTGGCTAATATAAAATGTCCCTGTGAAAGTGCAACCATCAGGCCAAGTATAGGTACCTCTGCCATGACGATGATCCTTATAAAATTGCCCTTTGTATGCCTGGAAGAGAAAAAGATGGAGGGGAGGGAAAGAAAAGTGAATTATTCCCATGGAGGGCTGAACTCAGAGTCAGGAAGAGCTGGATTCCAATTCCACCTCAGACACTTACTCAAAGTGTGACCCTGGGCAAGTCATTTCACTTTTCTGGGCCTCATTTCCCCATCTATAAAATGAGGTGGTTGGACTTGATACGCCCCAAGGCTCCCTACAATTCTAAATCTATGATCTTGTTCTCAGTGACTTCTCAAAAAAGTTTCCCAACTTTAATGCCTACCCTCTAAGTTTGAAGTGCAGGAAATAATCGAAGATTTCCACGAGTATTCTGATGCTGGGACAGTAGGTAATATTAGGCACCACAATCGGTACAAGCATCTTGGAAACCACTTTGAGGTTCTGCGAACCAAAAAGATAGAATGCCCACATCCTCTGGCTCTGAGGTTCCCCTCCCAGGCCCACACCCCAAGGAGGTCACTGATGCAAAGAAAGCCCCTACACATCTAAATATTTAGAGCAAGCAGCACATGTTCTGGTAGCAAAGAGAAATGCCCACTGACTGGGGAACGGCCAAGCAAACCGTGCTACATGAATGTGATGAAATGTTACTGGGCAGGAAGAAATGACAAATGTGATGAACACAGAGCAGCACAGAAAGACTTACACGAACCGATGCAGAGTGAAGCAAACAGAACCAAACCAGGAAAACAATGCACACAATGACTTCAGTCATGTAAATGGAAAGAATGGACACAATAAAATCATCCAAAGTAACTGGGGCAAAATTACAAAGAATCGGTATGGTCCCAAAGAAGAACTAGAAGAGGATATCTCCCCCTCTACCCTCAACCCTTTGAGAGTTCCACAGATGGAGATACTGAGAAAATGGAGATGTAAGAAGAAAAGATATCAATAAAACCGTATCACTGAGTGAGTATGTGTGTAGTTGAGTTAGACCAAATTGTTTTTTGAATGGTTGGACTAATTCAATTCCAACAAGATTCCACCAAGGTACCTATCTTGCCACTGTCTCTCCAACACTTAACATTTTTATCTTTTTTGCCAATCTGGGAACAAGGCAGATGCCCAGAACTGTTTTAATCTGTATTTCTCCAGTTACTGGTGACCTGAAGCCTTCTTTCATGTGACTATTGATCGTTTGCCTTTCTTCTTCACAAAATTACCTGCTCATATCCTTTAACCACTTATCCTTTGGGGATGAGTGACCATTTTCTATTTTTGTCTTAAAGCAGATCCTCAGAGATCAGATGAATGGCTAACAAAGAAGGTAGGCCAATCATACAGCAAGAATGAGGGAAAAACAACAAGAAGCTTGCGTCCTCCATTGGTATACAGGCACTGTCAAGTCATGGAGAGGCAAGGCAACTAGCATTTATTAAGCACCTACTGTGTTCTGGGCACTGGGGATATGGAAGAAAGCCTCCTAGCACTTGGTCAAACCCTTTTGGATAATTTCATGGAAAATATCATTGGAAATTTCTTCTTAGGGGAATATAAAAATCTGCTTTCCAAATAAGCTTCTGTCCACTGGTCCTAGTTTTTCTAAGGACCCATAATCAATTATCTCCCTCTTCCAACTGATAACCCTTCAAACATTTTGAAATGGCAATAATACCCTACTTCCATAATGTACATGCACAAATGTTACATGTAATTATGTCATGTACATGCTATACATAGTGTGTGTATATGTATGTGCATGTGTATACGCGTAGACAGACGGACAGGTAGATAGTCCAACCTGTCCCACCACCACCCATCCCAGGCATTTTCCAGACTAAACCTCTGTTCTTCCCTTCACCATTCCCTGAAAGGCTCTCCTTTCTCACCTCCTTCACACCACACAGCTCAAGCACCCCTTCTTCCCACACCTTTCCAGATTTCATCAATGCTAATGGCTTCCCTCCCAAGCTACCTTATATTTATTCACATGTATCTTCCTCATACTGATTCTACCTCCTTTTCTGTATGCATGCGCTGTCTCTCCCATTAGAATATCGCATCCTTAAAAGCAGGGTTTGTTTCACTCTTTCTATCTGTGTCTCCAGGGCCAAGCATAGTGTCTGGCACATAGGAGTTGTCTAACCTGATGCTTCTTGATTGATTAATTGAAATGACCCTCATCATCCTGATCAACCTCTTCCGGGCACTCTCCGGTTCAGCAACATCCATAGGAGCATAGTACTCAAAATGGGGAGTGAAGTACAATAAATACATCAGCTGTGGTCTGAACGTGACCCTTTCTTGAGCTTGGGGGAATATGGGCGTTAAGTTTTATTGAAGCCTTTTCTTCATCATCACAGCCATTTCTAGATCTCCCCCTCCTCGCCCCGCAGTCTGCCTTCACTTATAACTCACATAAAACACCCAGTTGAGCAGAAACAACCACCACGTTCAGAGCATCTGGGAGGATATCTAACATCCCCAAATCTCAGTCCCAGGCCCTCCTCTCTTTTCTCTCTGTGCTCTCAATGATCTCACCAGCTCTCATGGGTTTAATTATCTTCTCTGCTGCAGACAGATTTCCAGATCTCTGCATGCATCCAGCCTGCTCCTGAGCTCTAGTCACCAACTGACTATTCGTTATTTCCTACCGGCTGGTCTATAGGCATTGCAAACTCAACACGGGTAAACCAGAACTCATTATTAGCTTTCCTCCAAAACCCACTGCTTTCCCCCACTTCCCTTTTTGTTGAGCCCCCACCATCCTTCCAATCAATCAGCTTCAAAACCTTGGAATCATCCTCAATTCTTCCTCTTCTCTAATGAAGGAGTGGCCAAATCTATCATCGATCCTTCCCCAGCACCTGCAACATGCCTCCTTCTCTCCACCCACAAAGCCGCCACTCTGGTTGAAGCTCTCATCCCACTCACCCAGACCATTGATTGCAACAGCCTCCTAACTGGCCTCCCTGCCTTCATTCATTCCCTTCCTCAATCCCTCCTCTTCCCAAAGGACAGGTCTGCCCATGACCCCTCCTCTAGAAGCTCTAGGGGCTCCCTCATGCCTCTAGGATCAAATCCTCTGACAATGAAAGCCTGGCTCTAGCTGGCCCTTCCCAGCTCATAACACATCGTTCCCCCAAGCACGCCTCTGTAACCCAGCCACAGTGGCCCCCCGCTATTCCTCATGCACAGGGGTCCGTATCCCATCTCCATGTCTCTGCACAAATGGTCCCCTTGCCCTTTTTGCTGCTTGAAGGGCACTCTCTGCTCGCCTTCGAATCTCAACGCAAGCTCCCCCTGGTCTCCTTAGCTCCTCATGCCTCGACAGGGTGCATTCCCCGGGCGCTTCCAGGACCATAACACAATGCCTAGCATAGAGAAGGCATCGAATGCACGCCGACCGATTAACCTTTTCTACTTTCCATCTACACCAGACTACTATTCATACGCCAAACTTAACATGCCTGTCCCCTTCTCCACACATTGGCACGCTCTGTGGCCCCACACCTGAATTCTATCCCATCACCTCTACCTTTCTTAACACTCTTCAAGACTCGGCTCAGACACTACCTCCTCCATGAAGCTTTCCCTGATTTACTGTCCCCCAGTTCAAGATGACCCTTCCCTCATCAGATACTCCTAGAGTACTTTGTAGGTCATTCCCTATCTTCTCTCTGTGGACACCAATCAATCCATAAGCATTTGTTAGGGAAACAGACCAGAGTAAAGCAGTCCCTGCCCTCAGAGTTTACCTTCCAATGAGGGAGACAATATACAGGGTGTCCCAAAAGTCTTATTGCAGTGCAGGTTCCTCCCCCCCCCAATCAAAACAAACCTGCACTAAGACTTTTGGGACATACATATAAACATGTATGTATGTGTATATGCATAAACATACATACATACACTCACATATAAAATTTTATATATACATATATATGTGTGTACATGTGTGTATATATGTGTGTAGTTAGATATATATTACATATCAAACAAACACAAGGTAATTTGGCAGGGAGGACATCAGTAGGGGTTGGGGAAAGGCTTCCTATAGAACGTGGCACTCCAGCTGAATCCTGAAGGAAACCAGAGGTTCACAGAAGCAGAGGGAGGGAGGAGGAGAGGAGGAGGGAGGAGGTTGGGAGGAGGGAGGGAAGGAGGGCACTGTCTCCCCTCCCCCAGCAGCATGGCGATGTGGAAGCATTTGTTTTTGCCTTCCTCTTCCTGACGGTTTATTGGATTGACCTGGGGCAATGGGAGCCAGGCGAGTGCTGGAGGCAGCTCTGGAGAGCAAAATGGCTCCATTTTCAGGGCGAGCATTTGCACCTCGGAAATCTTTCAGACCAGAGCTTCATTGATTGTCTGTTGGTTGTCTAGACTTAAGAAAAGTGAAGAAAACATCAATAATGAAGATTAAACTTAAAAGTATGCCCTGCGTATTCTGAGACAGTGAGGAGGGAGGAGAGAGACAGAGAGAGAGAGAGACAAGAGACAGAAAGGGGGGAGGGAGAGGAGGGAGAGAGACAGACAGACAGACAGAGACTGAGATAGTATGTGTGTGTATACGAAAGAAAGAGAGAGAGAGAGAGAGAGAGAGAGAGAGAAGGGGGGAGAGAGAAAGAGAGGGGAGAGAGAGAGAGAGACAAGAGACAGAAAGGGGGGAGGGAGAGGAGGGAGAGACAAGAGATAGAGAGATAGCGTGTGTGTGTGGGGGGGGAGAGAGAGAGAGAGAGAGCCCTGACTGTTGGACATTTTACCCACACACTCTTGAATGGGACCCTATTAGCCAACCAGGGTGGACCTGCTGAACCAAAGATGAAGCCTCTCCAAGACTGCCGCCATCACAGAACCACAGTGTGGGGCCGTCACTGCATAAGTGGGTGACAACAGGACAAAAAGACTGACGAAGGCCACCTGGACGCTAATCAGCCATCGAGGCGGCCACCGCCAGGGGTCAAGCAAACCAAAGGCCTGAATGCATGGGCTGGGGGAGTAAAGGGGGGACCAGTCCAAAGTCCTTCACTTTTGTGCTTTTCCATCCAAGAGACAGCAGCTGCCTCAGTTCCTGGAGAGTGCCCATGGGTTCCTAAGCACATTTAGCGGCCTTTTCTTGCCTTTCCCATGGCTGTATTTTTAAGGAGCCCTCTCTCAAGACACAGCATCTCAGTTCACAGCCTGAACATCACGTGACATAGTGAGTGAAGGATAAGATGGCTATGGGTGTGAATTGATTACATCATGCTATGAGTGTAGCAGACATCTTCATTTTCACAAACAGCAGACACCCGGCATCCAGGAGCAATGGATCACAGAATCATAGCTCTGGAGACAGAAGTCCCTCCTTTTACAGGTGAAGAAGCTGAGTCCTGTATTACTTAAGTCACTTGCCTAAAGTCACAAAAGTATTAAATATGAGAGACAGAACATGAACTCAGGTCCTCTGACTTCCAAGACACTCTGTTCTTTCTGCCACTGAACCATCACCATGCCCAGCACACAGGAGGTGCTTAATAAATGTTTACTGACTCCTGACTGACTCCCTTCACACAAAGCGTGAGGAAGGGAAAAGAGAGAAGAGGTTCCTCTTTCCTTTGCCTCCTCCACCTTCTCTTATTGAAGGCAATAAGAGACTGACCTCAAGAGGCCTAGCCCAGCCTGGAGAAACTGAGATTTGTTTCCTACCAAGATAATCCTGAATCTTAACACACTCACCTGTGAACTAACGTGCTCCCACCAAAAGCCAGACCTAATGACTAACAGGGGTATGGCTGACCGCCTCAGGCACTGGGGCCCAAGAGCTCTGTCTTTGGTCCCCTGCCATCCTCTTTCCAGAAGTCTCTGACTTCCCCTACACCCAGGCACAAACACCATCACGCTGCCTTCTCAGCTATACAAAATCTTCACCTTTCATCCAAGCTCCTCGGACTACAGTCCAACATTACTCTTCCGTCTTCACTGACTTTCCAATCAACTCTACCATTCCTTGACTGTTGCCACTCTCTGGAGAGGAATTTATCTGATTATCTGATTAAAGTAATTCACCCTGATTATCTGATTAAATTAATACTGTCTAGGAGTGCTAAGAGGCTTAAAACACTCCTATAGATCATTTCCATTGTAAATGCTAAGCTTATCAACCCAAAGGACTCTCCAATTGGTCACATATGTGGTGGACCAATTTTTGAGCATGATTCCTCTATACAACTGGTTTCCCAGATAGCAAAAGACATTGTAATGGACACTGAAGCCACTGGCTACCCTCTCCTTTGTGACCTTGGCCACAGGACTACAGGGTCATGAATTTAGAGATAGACAGGACCTTAAGAGGATATCAAATCCAACCCCATTCAATTGAAAAAAACCTATTTTATCTCCATCCCATCCTCTCCCCTCCCCCAAATGGTGGAAGAGGAGGACAAAAAAGAGAAAAGCAAAGAGAAAATGAAAGCTTTGGCAACAAATGTGCATCGTTAAGGAAAACAAATTCCTCCATTGGCCATACCCAAAAAATATGGCTCATTCTGTACCCAGACTCCTTTGCCTCTCTACTAGGAGGTGGGTAGCGTGCTTCACCATTGAACCTCTGGAACTGTGGCTGGTCATTGCATTGATGTGAGTTCTTACGACAGTCAAGGTTGTTGGTCGTTTCAATACTGTTACTTTGTGCATCGTTCTCTGGGTTCTCCTCGCTTCACTCTTCATCAGTTGATATGGGTCTTCCCAGTTTGCTCTGAAACAGTCCCTTTTGCCATTTGTTACCCCACCACCATTCTGTTATATATTCACATACCACATCCCATAATTTGTTCAGCCCCTCCCCAATCAATGGGCACCTTCAGTTCTTTGCTACCACAAAAAGAACTGCTATAAATATTCTGGTATATGTGAGTCCTTTTCTTCTTTCTTTGATCTCTTTTGTGTATAGCCCTAGCTCTCTGACTGGTGGCTCAAAGGGACTGCACAGATTAAGGATTTGTCAGACACAGTTTCAAACTGCTTTCCAGAATGACTGGACCAGTTTACAGCTCCACCAACAGTACATCAACATGTCTTTTCCCTCAGCCCCTCCAACACTTGTCATTTTCCTTTTTGCCAAATTTGCCAATGTAATGGGTGTGAGGTGGACCTCACAGTTGCTTGAATTTGCATTTCTGTACTTATTAGTGGTTTGGTGCATTTTTTTCAAATGGACATTGATAGTGTGAATTTCTTCCTCTGAAAATTACCTATTCGTATCTCTAATCATTTGTCAGAATTCATTGTATATATCTGAATCAGTTCTGTATATATCTTGGACAGTAGACGTTGGTCAGAGAAATTTGCTGCAAAGACATTCCCCCAGTTACCTGTTTCCCTTCTCATTTTAGCTGCGTTGGGGGCTTTTGTGCAAAAACATTGTAATTTTATAAAATTGTCCATTTTCTCTTCTTTGGTCATGAACTCTGTCCCATCCATAGATGCAAAAGGCAATTTCCCTCTTCTTCCTCTAATTTAGATCAACCTGAAGTCCAGATTGTGCATCCGTTTGAAGCTTATCTGGGTTGACAGAATCTGATGTTGGTCTATGCCTAATTTCTGCCAGACAGCTTTCCACTTTGCCCAGAAGTCTGTGTCAAATAGTGAGTTTTTACCCCAGCAGTTATTATCGTGAGCTTTATCAAACACTATTCTATTGTGGTCATTCGCTCCCGCTGTTGAGCATCTAATCTATTCCACGGATCAACTCTCTATTTCTTACCTAGTACCAAATCATTTTGATGATTACTGTTTTGCACTGCTTTGTAGTATAGTTTGGGGTCGCTAGGGGACGCCATGGTGCGCAAAGTGCCAGGCCTGAAGTCAGAAAGATTCATCTTCCTAAGTTCAAATCCAGCCTCAGACATTTTCTAGCTGTACGACCCTGGGCAAGTCACTTAACCCCATCTGCCTCAGTTCCTCATCTATAAAATGAGTTAGAGAAGGAAATGGCAAACCACTCCAGTATCTTTGTCAAGGAAACCCCAAATGGGGTCACAAAGAATCAGACATGACTAAAATAATCAAACAACAAAGTATAATTTGAGATCTAGTACTTCTCAGCCCCTTCCCTTCCCACATTTTTATTTCATTATTCCTTTCGAGATTCTTGCAAGCCCATGGTTTTACAGATGAAGAAACTGAGGCACAGAGAGGTTATGTGATTTGACCAGGACCACACAACTAGTAAGCTTCTAAGACAAGATCTGAACCCAGATCTTCCTGACTCCAGGTCCAGAGCCCCCTTATCACAACAGCATGCTTCCTCTCAGTAGAAAGGGCCCTAGCTCTGGTGTCACAGGACCTAGAATCGAATCCTGCCTCTGATGCTAATGACCTTGGGCTAGTCGCTTAAGACTCTTGAGCCTCCGTTCCTTCATCTGTAAACTGAGGAGGCTGTGGTCCCTTCCAGCTCTACATCCAGGATCCAATGATCTAGGTGACCTTGGACACACAACTTCATCTCTGTGGGCCTCATCCTTTCTACCTGTAAAATGGAGGGATTCAAGGAGATGCCTTCTGAGGTCTCTATGACTCTATGAAATCCCCATTGGAACAGCATACACCTTAAAATATTGGGAATTCACTTTACCTAGACATACACGTGATAAGGACAACTATAAAGTTTATAATGGCAGAAAAAAATAAAAGCTGGGATAATTGAACTGAGTGTTCATGGATAGGTTGATCTCTATAGTAAAAATAATAACAATAACATTGTAAGCTCAACATTTACATATTTGAGTCAATACAAACCTATTTTTAAAAAATAATGATAATTAAGTAGAAAAACAATGGTCAAGGATATAAAAAACCCACTTAAAATGGTGGATGGATTAGATTTGCTTTCCCAGGCCTTAGAACAGATTTCAGAGCAGTTATAGTCAAAACTATCTGATGCTCAGCAAACGCAGATCAGCGAGAAAGAACAAAGATGACAAACACACAACCAGATGCACGCAAAAGCTGACTAGTAAATCTTCAAAAAATTAAATCGGGGAAAAGATTTCTTACTTAACAAATATACTTGAGAGAATAGGTAAGTAATATGACAGGACTTAAGACTTCAACCTGTTATCTCACACCACATATCCCAGGGAATTCTAGCCAGGTGATAAACACACATTTAAAAAATAAATAATTTTAAGGGTGGAAAAAATTAGAATAATGCATCTCAACAGGGGGAGGAGGACAACTTTTATCTATTACAGAAGCAGAAGAAAGTAAGGAGAAAACAGATGTGCTTGATTAAATAAAACAAAAAGTCTATACAACAAAAGAATCAAAAGGGAAAATATTTATGGTGATAACGGACAGAAAGCTCTAGCTCCAAAGTATACAAAGAAATGTTTGAAAATGTGCTAAGGCAACTCCCAAGTCCCAAAGAAGAAATAGTCAAAAGATGCAAACGGGAAATTTTCAAAAGAAGGCAAGCTGTCAGTAGTCACTTGAAAAAATGTCTAATCTGATAATCAAAGTAATGCAAAGTAAGACAAGTCTGAGGTTATCACCTCGCACCCATCAGATCAATAAACATAACGAAAAGCAAAGGGCCTGCCTGACGACAAGGTGTATCTTGCTTCTCCAATAAATACAATTATTTCCTATTTGTTGGTACCAATGAGTACCAACATTCCCTGAAACTGTATGGAGAAACCCATCACTGGCAATATATGGGAAGCGAGCTCTCAGTCTACCAATGGCACAAAATAAGCACAAATGACTTGACTTGAATAATTTACCTCACCATTGCTCCATTCGAATATCCAAATCCAAGTTTCATGTTAAGCCCAAATTCCCCCTTGTATACGCAACCATCGGGCCATTCCTGCACGCCATAAACCCGCTCAATATAGTCCTGCAGCTCTGGCTCGGGCAGTCCCAGTGACTCCCTCTCATCACCTTCCTCGTCTGTTGTAATGACGTCCCTGGGATGACAATCGGGAAAGGTTGTCAGAGTGAAACCCAAAGCCAGACAGTGACTTCCCAGCATTCCCCACCAAGTGACACTACATAGTATATATTATTTAGACCTTGGTTGGACAATAAAATCCAATTCAGTGGACACCAAAAACAATGTTTCTAACTCATTCTTTCATCACGGAGGCAGGATGGTACAGCAGAACGAGCCCAGGCATCAAAGGACCTGGGCTCAAATCCCTCTTGGGCCTTGGTTTCCTTGTCTATAAAATCAGAGTCAGCCAAGATGGCCTGAGATCCTCCCAAGATAGCCTATAAACCAACTTAGTCTGGGCTGGCTTAGAATGGTCCTAATGAGACAAGGTAGCAGACAAGATACACACCAGTGAACTTTACAGACAGAAAAATTCTTCTCGGCCAAGTTGGTGCCCCCTAATTCTTTTGCATACTCCAAAGGACCTGGAACAGCGTTAGAAATGAAATATCCTCTCCATAAATTCATCGAACCATCTTTGCCTATGAAGATAGCACTTAAGAGAAAACTAATGATCTCTGGGGGCAAAAAAGCCATTACTGAAGAAAGTTTCAAGAGAAGTCTAGAAGATCTAAGCAAGCTGCACCGACACAGCACTACCTAAAAAATGGCTAACATCACTGGGGTATTCCAGAACCACAGGCTCTCAGTGTTCCTCCAAGCCTTGACCTACATTTTCTATTCATTCACTTATCACACAAGTATTACTATGTGCCAGGCACTAAGCTCCGTAGCTGTTCAGTCATTTCAGTTGTGTCTGACTCTTTGTGGCCCCCATTTAGGGTTTTCTACTGGTGTGCTTTACCATTTCCTCCTCTGGCTCATTTTACAGATGAGGAAACTGAGGTAAACATAGTGAAGTGACTTGCCCAGGGTCACACAGCTAGTAAATGTCGGAGGCCCAGAAGCCTATCCACTGTACCAGCCAGCTGCCCAGGCACCGCAGCTAGGTACTAGAAACAAAGAGATGAAGACAAAATAGACCCTGTCTTCAAAGAGCTTATATCCTATTGGACACAACATGTACCCATATCAATAAATGTAAAATTTAAACAAAGTAATCACAAAATAGTTTGGGGAAAGGAGACACTTGGCAGCTGAGGAAGAGAACAGAAATAACTGCTTTTTCCCCAAAAATATTAAAAATCAGAATGGAGCAAGTGGAAGCTAATGACTCTGAGAGATCAAGAATCAATCAAACAGAAACAAAAGAAATCAAAAAATAGAAGAAAATGTAAAATACCTCATTGGCAAAACAACTGACCTGGAAAACAGATCCAGGAGAGATGATGGAAAAAAAAAAGAGCCTGGACAGCATCTTTCAGGAAATCATCAAGGAAAACTGCCCTGAGGTATTAGAACCAGAGGGTAAAATAGCCATAGAAAGAATCCACCGATCACCTCCTGAAAGAGACCCCAAATTGAAAATGCCAAGGAATATTGTAGCCAAATTCCAAAATTACCAGGTCAAAGAGAAAATATTGCAAGCAGCCAGAAAGAAAACAATTCAAATGTCATGTAACCACAATCAGGATTACACAAGACCTTGCAGCTTCTACATGAAAAGGTCAGAGGGCGTGAAATATAATATTCGGTGAGGCAAAGAAGCTTGGATTACAACCAAGGTCAACTACCCAGTGAAATTGAGCATCATCTTTCATGGAAGGAGATGGCCATTCAATGAAATGGGGACTTCCAAACTTTCCTGATGAAAAGACCACAGCTCAAGAAAACTTGATCTTCAAATACAAAACTCAAGAGAGGCATAAAAAGATAAACAAGAAAGAAAAAAACAACAAGATGTTATTAATAAGGGCAAACTGTTTACATCCCTACAAGAGAAGACGACACTTGTAACTCTTGGGAACTGTACTGTTATTATGACATTTAAAAGGGGTATATATAGTCAGAACCTTACTCATTTGGTTCAAAGATGGAATAATATCATCAGTCGGGTATAGAAAGCTAACTTACCCTATAGGAAGTAGGAGGGGAAAGGGGAAAAAAAGGGAGGAGGCTAATAGAAGGGAGGACAGACTGAGGGAGGCAGTGGTCAAAAGTAAAACTCTAGTGAGGAAGGTAAGGGGGAGAGAGGAGAGAGAGGCATAAATAGGGGAGGGGGAAATAGGATAGAGAGAAAGACACAGACAGTAATCATAACTGCAAATGTGACTGGGATGAAGGTGGATTAAGAACCATAATCCCACAATATGTTTATAAGAAACACATTTTACACAGAGTAAAGGTAAAAAGCTGGAGCAGATATATTGTTTCAGCTGAAATAAAAAAAAAGCAGGTATAGCAATCCTGATCTCAGAGCAAAAGCAAATATAAATCTAATTAAAAGAGATAAGGAATGAAACTACATGCTGCTAAAAACGTAGCATGGACAATGAAGCAACATCATTACTAAACATACATGCACCAAGTTGTATAGCATCCAAATTCTTGGAGAAGAAGTTAAGGGAGTTACAAGAAGAAATAGACAGCAATACTATACTAGTAGGGGACTTCAACCTCCCCCTCTCAGAACTAGATAAATCTTACCACAAAATAAAGAAGAAAGAAGTTAAATTGATAAATAGAATTTTAGAAAAGTTAGATATGGTTGACCTCTGGAGAAATCTGAATGGGGACAGAAAGGAAAATACCTTTTTCTCAGTGGTACATGGCACCTACACAAAAATTGACCGCACACTAGGGCATAAAAACCTCACCATACAATGCAGAAAGACAGAAATATTAAATGCATCATTTTCAGATCATTATGCAATAAAAATTACATGTAATAAGGGCCATGGAAAGACAGACTAAAAATTAATTGGAAACTAAATAATCAATTCCTAAAGAACAAATCATAGAAACAATCAATAACTTCATCCAAGAGAATGATAATAATGAGACAACATACCAAAACTTATGGAATTCAATGAAAGTGGTCCTTAGGGTAAGTTTTAAAGAAGTGATCAGTGAATTAGGCATACAACTAAAAAATCTAGAAAAAGAACAAACTAAAAATCCCCAATTAAAAACTAAACTAGAAATTCTGAAAACCAAAGGAGAGATTAATAAAATTGAAATTAAGAAAACTATTAAACTCATATAAAGAAGTAAGAGCTGGTTTTATAGGAAAAAAAACCAATAAAATAGATAAGCCTTTGGTTAATCTGATTTTAAAAAAAGGAAGAAGAAAATCAAATTACCAACATCAAAAACGAAAAGGGTGAATTCACCACCAATGAAGAGGAAATCAAAACAATAATTAGGAGCTTTTTTACCCAACTGTATGCCAATAAATTTTACAATCTTAGTGAAATGGATGAATATTTACAAAAATGTAAGTTGCCCAGATTAATGGAAGAGGAAATAAAATACCTAAATAACCCCATTTTGGAAAAAGAAATTGAACAAGCCATCAATGAACTCCCTAAGAAAAAATCTCCATAGCCAGATAGATGGATTTACAAGTGAATTCTATCAAACATTTAAAGAACAACTAATTCCAATACTATATAAACTATTTGGGAAAACAGTTGAAGAAGGAGTCCTACCAAATTCTTTTTATGATACAAATATAGTGCTGATACCTAAACCAGGAAAAGCCAAAACAGAAAGAAAATTATAGACCAACTTCCCTAATGAATATAGATGCAAAAATTTTAAATAAAATATTAGCAAAGAGATTACAGCAACTTATCTCGAGGATAATACACTTTAACCAAGTAGGATTTATAACAGGAATGCAGGGCTGGATCAATATTGGGGCAACTATCAGCATAATTGACCATATCAACAACAAAACTAACAGAAATCATATGATCATCACATTAGATGCAGAAAAAGCTTTTGACAAAATACAACACCCATTCCTATTAAAAACACTACAGAGGATAGGAATAAATGGAGTCTTCCTTAAAATGATAGGTAGCATCTATCTAAAACCATCAGCAAGCATTATATGTAATCGGGATAAGCTAGAAGCATTTCCAATAAGATCGGAGGTGAAACAAGGATGTCCATTATCACTACTATTATTCAATATTGTACTAGAAATGTTAGCTTTAGCAATAAGAGAAGAAGAAGAAATTGAAGGAATTAGAACAGGCAAAGAAGAAACAAAGCTATCATTCTTTGCAGATGATATGATGGTATACTTGGAAAATCCTAGAAAATCAAGTAAAAAATTACTTGAAATAATAAACAAATTTAGCAAGGTTTCAGGATATAAAATAAGCCCACATAAATCACTGGCATTTCTATATATTACTAACAAAGCCAAACGGCAAGAGATAGAAAGAGAAATTCCATTTAAAGTTACTGTAGACATTAAAAAATATTTGGGAGTCTACCAGCCAAAAGAAAACCAGGAACTATATCACCACAATTACAAAACACTTTTCACATAAAGTCAGATCTAAATAATTGGGAAAATATCAGTTGTTCATGGGTAGGCCGAGCTAATGTAATAAAAATGACAATCCTACCTAAATTAATTTAGTTATTCAGTGTCATACCAAACTACCAAAACATTATTTTATAGAGCTAGAAAAAACAATAACAAAATTCATCCAGAATAACAAAAAGTCCAGAATATCAAGGAAACTAATAAAAAGAAATGCAAGGGAAGGTGGCCTAGCTATACCAAATCTTGAATTGTATTATAAAGCAGCAATCATCAAAGCTACTTGGTACTGGCTAAGAAATAGAGGGTGGATCACTGGAATAGGTTAGGCACACAAGACACAACAGTCAATGACTATAGTAATCTACTATTTATTATTTTTTTTTTTGGCAAGGCAATCGAGGTTAAGTGACTTGCCCAGGGTCACACAGCTATTGAGTATTGTGCCTGAGGCTGGATTTGAACTCGGGTCCTCCTGACTCCAGGGCCAGTGCTCTATTCACTGTGCCACCTAGCTGCCCCTAATCTACTATTTGATAAATCCAAAGACCCCAGCTTGTGGGATAAAAACTCACTATTTAACAAAAACTGCTGGGAAGATTGGGAAAAGAGTATGGCAGAAAGTAGGCACTGACTAACATCTTATACCTTATACCAAGATAAAATCAAAATGAGTACATGATTTAGATATAAAGACTGATACTATAAGAAAACTAGGAGAGCAAGGAATAGTTTACCTATCAGATCTATGGAGAAGGGAAGAATTTATGACCAAACAAGAGATAGAGGACATTATGAAATGCAAAATGGATGACTTTGATTACATTCAAATTGAAAAGTTTTTGCACAAAGCCAATGCAACCAAGATTAGAAGGAAAGAAAGCACAAAGCTTAGAAGCAATTTTTACAGCCAGTGTCTCTGATAAAGGCCTCATTTCTAAAATATACAAAGAACTGAGTCAAATTTATAAGAATACAAGTCATTCCCCAATTGATAAATGGTCAAAGGATATGAACAGGAAGTTTTCAGAAGAAGAAATTAAAGCCATCTCTAGTCATATGAAAAAAATGCTCTAACTCACTCCTGATTAGAGAACTGCAAATCAAAATGACTCTAAGGTACCACCTCATACCTATCAGACTGGCTAATATGACAAAACAGGAAAACAATAAATTTTGGAGAAGACGTGGTAAAATTGGAACCCTACACATTGCTGGTGGAGTTGTGAACTGATCCAACCATTCTGGAGAGCAATTTGGAATTATGCCCAAAGAGCTATAAAATTGTGCATACCCTTTGACCCAGCAACAGCACTTCTAGGGCTGTATCCCAAAGAGATCAGACAAATGGGAAAAGGACTCACACGTACAAAAATATTTATAGCAGTTCTTCTTGTGATAGCAAAGAACTGGAAACTGAAGGGATGCCCACTAATTGGGGAATGGCTGAACAAGTTGTGGTATATGAATGTAATGCAACACTATTGTGCTATAAGAAATGATGAGCAGTCTGACTTCAGAAAAATCTGGAAAAACTGATGCAAACTGAAATGGGCAGAACCAGGAGAATGTTGTATACAGTAGCAGCCACATTGTGTGATCAGTAACTTTGATAGACTTAGCTCTTCTCGGCAATGCAAGGATCTAAGACAACTCCAAAAGACCCATGATGGAAAATGCTATCCGCATCCAGAGAAAGAACAATGAGTCTGAATGCAAATGAAGAATACTATTTGCTCTCCTTTTGTTTCGCTGTTTTGTTTTGTTTCTTCTTTCTTGTGGTTCCTCCCATTAGTTCTAATTCTTCTTTACATCATGAGTAATATGAAAATATGCTTAATATGAATGTATAAGTAGAACTTATATCAGATTGCACACCATCTCGGGGAGGAAGGAGAGAGAGGGAGAGAAAATTTAAGACTCAAAGTCTTATGGAAGTGAATGTTGAAAACTAAAAATAAATAAATTATTTTTTTAAAAGGGTTACAAGTACCATTTTCTCATGTCAGGATGTAAACAGTTTAACTTCACTGAACACCATGGTTTTTTTTTCGTTTGTCTTTTTATGTTTCTCTTGAGTCTTGTATTTGAAGATCAAATTTCTGTTCAGCTCTGCTCTTCTCATGAAGAAAGTTTGAAAGTCCCTTATTTAAATGAATATCCATCTTTTACCCTGGAAGATTATGCTCAATTTTGCTGGGTAGTTGATTGTTGCTTGTAATCCAAGCTCCTTTGCCTTCCTGAATATCATATTCCAAGCCCTCCACTCTTTTAATGTAGAAACTGCTAAATCCTGTGTAATCCTGACTGTGGCTCCTTGATATTTAATTGTTTCTTTTCTGGCTGCCTGCAGTATTTTCTCCTTGACCTAATAGCTCTGGATTTGGTTACAATATTCCTTGAAGTTTTCATTTTGGGATCTATTTCAGGAAGTGATCAATGGATTCTTTTAATGACTATTTTTTGCCCTCTGGTTCTAGGATATCAGGGTAGTTTTCCTTGATAATTTCTTGAAAGATGCTGTCTGGGATCTTTTTTTAATTATGGCTTTCAGATAGACCAATAATTCTTAAATTATCTCTCCTAGATCTACTTTCCAGGTCAGTTGTTTTTCCAACAAGGTATTTTACTTTCTCCTATTTTTTCATTTTTTAAAATTTTGTTTGACTGGTTCTTCATGTCTCATAGAATCATTAGCCTCCATTTGCCCAATTCTAATTTGTAAAGAATTCTTTTCTTCAGCTAGCTTTTATACCTCCTTTTCCTCTTGGCCCATTCTACTTTTAAAGTTGTTTTGTTCAGTGGATTTTTTTTCCAAAAGGAGCTGCTTTCTTCACTCAATTTTTGTGCTTTCTTTTCCAAGCTGTTGACTCTTTTTTTTTTCATAATTCTCTTGCATGCCTCTCACTTCTTTTCCCAGTTTTTCTTCTAACCTCTTACTTGATTTTTAAAATCCCTTTTGAGCTCTTCCAAGAAGACTTTTGGGACTTAAGGCCAATTCATATTCCCCTCTGAGGCTTTGTATGTAGACATATGACATTGTTGTCCTCTTTCCTGTCACCATAAGTAGCTTTCCATGGTCTATGGTCTCTTTTTTGGTTTTATTGCGGGTTTTTTTGCTCATTTTTAAAAGTTAAGCTCTGCTCTGGGGTACAGGGGGCATTGTGCCAAGCTTCTTGCTTGAGGGGCCAGGGGGCCTGGTCACTAGCTTTCTGTGCCGGGGCTTCTGGGGCTGGTGGCTTGCCCACTGTGCTAGCAGGGTGCCCTGGGTTCTAGGGCTGGCAGTTTGCCTCCTGTACTGGGGCTGGAGGCCTCACAACTGGCCTGCTGTACCCATGGCCTTCTGAGCCAGGACCTTGGGGCCTCGGGCACTGATCTGCGCTGTAGCTAAGAGCCTCCCCCTGGTTTGTCCAGACACTACCTGTTCAATAGGCTCTGTTCCCCTTTTATCCAAGTGAGAGAAACCTTTCCTGAAGTCCTTCTAAATTATCTTGCGGGAAAACTGTTTTACTCTTTTTGCGAATTCTGTTGTTCCGGAATTCTTTTAGACGTTTGATTTAACACTGTTCCCAAGGGAGACTGGAGAGAACTCAGGCAACTTCCCGGCTTCTCTCTGCCCTCTTGGCTCCACCCTCCCCACTGACCCCCATTTAAATGAAAAAGGTAAAAAGAAAAAGAAAACCCTTGTAACAAATATGCATAGTCAAGCAAAACAAATCCCCTCATTGGCCACACCCCAAATTATGTGTTTCCACCTGCACCTGAATCCATCACCACTCTATCAGAGGTACAGAGCACGCTTCATCAGCCATCCTCCAGAACTGCGGTCGGGTCATTCCACGGAGCAGAGTTCTTAAGATGTTAAAGCTGTTTGTGTTTACAATGGTGTTGTTATCATACATACTGTTCCCCTGGTTCTCCTCCCTTCACTCTGCATCACTTCATACAGACCTTCTGGATTTCCCCCAAATCCATCCTTGTCATCATTTCTCACGGCACAATAATATTCTATAACGTTTCATATGCAATAATTTGTTCAGCCACAAACTGGGGGTAACTGATGGACATTCCTTTAGTTTCCAGTCCTTTGCTATCACAAAAAGAGCTGCTATAAATACTTTTGTATCTATAGGTCCTTTCCCTTTTTCTCTGATCTCTTCGGAGTCTGAGCCTAGGAGTGGTAGACCTGGTTCACAGGGGATGCATAGTTCAGTGACTTTTCTTTCCAGAACAGCTGGACTAATTCATAGTTTCATCAAAAATTCATTAAATGTATCTGTCTTCCCATCACCCTCCAACATTTGTCCATTCTTTCTTTTATCAGGTTTGCCAACCTGGTAGGAATGAAACTTTTTAATCTATATTTCTCTAATTGTTAGGGATTTGAAACATTTTTTTCTTAGGGCTGTTGATACCTTAGATTTCTTCCTTTAAAGACCGTCCATCCAATCTTTTGCTCTTTTATCAACCACAGAATGGTTCTTATTCGTATAAATTTTAATCAATTCTTTACATATCTTGGAAATGAGACCTTTATCAGAGGAACTTTTCTGGCAGGCTCCACATGCTGGAAAGGCTTCCAGGAAGGCCCCATTAACAAATTAAGGCTATTTTTCAAGGACCAACCTAGTTAAGTACATAGAGGCTCATCACCAAAAGGCTGCCAACTTGGAGATGAATTCTTTAATGAAAGCAGCTCATGAAGCAAAGAAAAATTCACAATGCCCCACCACCCTTAGTCCAACAAGGCTCTCATCTCTTTCTGGTGCGGCAGCCAACAGAGTGGTTGGAAAGGAGGGTAAAGTCACACCAAAACAAGTCAAAAAGCCTTTATTAAAGCACATACTACGTGCCAGACGCTGTGCTAAGCACGGGAGACAAAAAGAAAGGCAAAAGTTCCTAATCTCAAGGAGCTCACAGTCTAATGGGAGGCAGATAAGATATATGTATGTGTGTATACACAAATATACAGGATAGAGATCATCTCATAAGGTTAAAGGAGAGGGGGTTTAAAAATCACAGCTTTTGGACCATCTATAAGCCTTGATTTGACTGTTGGTAATCTGAATATGAAAGCCCTGTCAATCAATCAATAAGCATTCATTAAGTACCTACTGCGTTCTAGATAAAAAATACAAACACAAATAAATGTCCCAACAACCAACGAGAGTACCTATCTCTCCCATCAGAATGCACGCTTCTAGAGAGCAGAAAACAGCTTCACCCTTTGTAGGCTCGTTCCAAGAGCCTAGCACGTACCGACATCTTAAAAATGCACACTGATCATGCTTAACTCCCATAATCATCATCCCTTCCATAAAAAAGATGCCATGGAACAAAGTTATACAACACCTTTTGGAGAAGTATTTTAGATCGCCCATGGACCTGTCTTCTCTGGAATAAGCAGATTTGGTAGAGCTTGGCTCTGGGGGCTTAACATCCCCCTGGGTAAAAACCTCAGGATTCATCATGTTTCCGAAAGCACTTTTAGCAGCTTTTTCTTCAATTGACCTAGAAGGACAAGTGGAGAGGTCTCAGACTTCATACAGGAATCTGAGGCTGACACCTTAGAAACATAGAGTCATTGCTAAGATTCACCCAGGAAAAAACCTCTAACCTGGAGCCCCGGTTTCAAACCCTACCCTTGGTTCCCAGGCCTTCTGCTTAGTGAGTGATGTGCACTTCCAAAGCTCCTTATTTTCACAAAGCCCATAATGGACACGAACCATTCAGTGAACTTGAAGGAAATCTAGCAATCAGCACCCCTGGGATGCCTAGCTTGTCACCGAGACAGCTTGAATGAGAAAAAGCAGACAGCAAAACAAACATCCCTGTTGCTCAAAGGACCAGCTTGTACTGCTCAGTTTCCCCAAAACTTTCATGACCCCAATCAAGGTGCTCTTTCATCCAATTCCCTTCGAGGGAAGGAACACAGGAATAACAAGAGCTTTATCTAATAGACCAGGACACTGTTTGAATGAAATTGTATATGATTGGTTACTATGGCATCCTGTTTAACTGTCGAATCCATACACTAGGGAAGCTGGGTTACTCTGTAACTCCTAGTGATGTCATTTACAAGTGATTAAAGACTGTGTGGTCATTTCCAATTAAAAAAAAAAGGCCAACAGGCCCTATAGTTAGGCTAATAAACTGGTATTACACTGTTTCTATGAAGAATAAAATCGGAAATTCCGTAAACTCCAAGATGGAAAGATTCTCAGAGGCCTTATATGATCCAACCCAAACTTGAAAGAGGAGCCCCCTCTGCAACCCACGAGGCTAGTGGTCATCCTGCTTTCCCTAGAAGCCCTCTGAGAAAGAAGCCGCTGCCTCCCCCAAAGACCTCGTGCACAGCTCTAATATATATATTTTTTTAGGATAGGCAATGGGGTTAAGTGACTTGCCCAGGGTCACACAGCTAGTGTTATGTGTCTGAGGCTGGATTTGAACTCAGGTCCTCCTGAATCCAAGGCCGGTGCTCTATCCACTGCGCCACCTAGCTGCCCCCACAGCTCTGATATTTAGAAAGAGACGAAGAAATCCATCAAGACCAAACAGGCCTCCATTCCTGCTTAGTAGGAACACAATTCAAGAGGCGGCAGGAGCCTCAGAGGTCACCTAGTCCAACAGCATCTAGTCATTTGACAGATGAGGAAACTGAGACCCAGGGAAGTTAGGGGATTTGTCCAAGGTTACCCAGTGAGGAAGAAGCAAAGCCAGCACTTGAATCCAGATCCTCCGACTCCGGATAGGAGCTCTTTCTACCCTCCTAGGCCAGCCAGAACAAGTCTCCTCCTCTTTCCAACACACCCGGATTGTTCTTATGGCATCTACGTCCAATGATTAACAATCACAGAGGGGCTTGCCCCTACCCCCTCCAAAAAGAAAAGCACTTTCCGCTCCACCGGACGCTGACTTGAGCACAGTCGCCACCTCAGCAGTAACTCGTGAGCCACAGCTGACTCAACAGTGAGGGATCTCGAGCGCACACGCCCCTGCCCCTGCCCAAGCCCGGCTGGCGCACCTCAGGGCCGCCTCCGAAGCTGTTTCCCGCGTGGGAATCAATGAATCTCACTCAGACCCGCTCTCCTCCCACGGAGCTGGACGTGCCCCCTCGGGGAAGATGACCGCCGAGGACCACCTGCCTGCCGTCCCCTCCGCCCAACCCACCCGCCCGTGCGCCAGTCTGTCGTGCGCCCTCCCTCCGCAGCGCCCCTCCCTCCGCAGCGCCCCGCACCCTCCGCAGCGCCCCGCACCCTCCGCAGCGCCCCGCACCCTCCGCGACTCTCAGCGAAGACTCCCAGCTCCCACGGGGCAATCCACGCCCCGGGACGGGCTGTACCACTGCCGCAGTGAGGGCGGGAGGTGACGCACCATGCACGTGCCCTGTCCAACAACCCAGAATCGCCCGGCGGCGGCCCCGCGCTCCAGAGACCGAGTGCAAGGTTCAAGTGGGAGTGGGGCGGGAAAAAACAGCAGAGCCGGGCGGACCACCCCTCCAGACCCGAGCCACGATCCTTCCACCCCCCCTCCCGTAGGCGATGGATGAAGTCAGAGCGTCCGCGTCTCCATAGAGACCCTGCTACGCGGCCAAGACTGCCCCTTCCTCCTCTTTCCTGGCTGGGCGTTCAGGGGCCCCCGAAGCCGCTCCACCAGAAGAAGGGCCGTCCAGACCTCCGATTATGACCTCACAGGGGCTGCCTAGCTGCTACCCCCGCGCTGCAGCTGTCGTTGGTGGGGGCGGGTAGGGAGTTCCTGGCCTCTGTGGCTGGAAGGGACTGGTCAGTGGACACAGATAGGCTCATAGATTTATACAGCCAGAAAGGAACTCAGAGACCAGCTAGTCTAAACTCTCCATTTGACAGTGAAGAGGGTGACTGGTCCCAGGTCAATATCAATCAATCAACATTTATTAAGCGCTTACTAAGGCTGTTAATCGTAGGTCTTTGGTAAGTCACAGAATCTCAAACCTGAAAGACACGTTGAGGCCACCTCACCAACCTCGACCTAGGACGCGAATCCCCTAGTAACAGATTGATCAGTGGACCTCCAGTTTCAGCGTGACTGTGAGGGGGAACCCACTGCCTCCGGGGGCAGCCATTCCCCTTCAGATAATGAGCTTTCAGAAGCTCTTCTACCTAGCCTAACTCCGCCTCCATTCTGTTTACCCCTCCTGCCTTCCAGGAAGCAAACGGAACAAACCGCCTCTTCCTTCCATGGGAAAGCCCTTCAACGACTGGAAAGGTGTACCCTCCGAGTCTCATCTCCAGCTCCTTCGAGGCCTGATGGCCTTCCATCCTCTCACCTTCCTGGCTCTCTTCTCCGGACCCTATCCAGTTTATCACTGTCCTTCCCAAAATGTGCTGCCCACATCTCAATCATGGGACTCCACATGCACTTGGCCCATGACCGAATTTTTCTTCCAAACAACTCATACTTCTTCTCAAGGAGGTTTCGATACTGCTCTGTGCTCTGGCCAAACTGGACCTTTCACTCACCATCCCTTGATGGTGAGTATCAGCATACAAGGGGATGCTGATAAATGTTTAACAAAAAGCTCTTGGGTGGGGGTAGGGGAGGAATGCAGGCAGGACATACTAGCACGTACTTTTTTTTTTTACCATTTTCTCCATCACTTTCTTAAGTCTTAGACAGTCAACAAATCAAACCCTGATTTGTTCCATTTGTCAATTTCTAAGGTGAAAATGCTCACACTGAAAACTGTTTCTCATGAGCTGCTAAGAGCTGGAGAGTCCACTGCTGCTTAGACATCTCCCACTTCAATGATATGATTGTACCATTTCCCCCACCACACCTCTGCTCATGGCATTGCGTCCGCTTAGCATAACCTCCTTTTGTCACCTACACCTAACGGATTCCATCTGTCACTAAGCACCATGAATTTGTGAGCCCTTCACTGAGGAGCCTCTCCAGACTGAGCTAGACCGGTCATTAAACATATGTCACTAAACCTGTACTTAAAACATTTTCAGCTTGGAAGGACCTGCTAGAACAAGTATTTCTCTGGCAGAGCCTTGGAGGAAACCCTGGGGTCACCTTCACACTACAATGAGGCATCAGAGGAGCATTTTGGTGGATATTGAAATCTGACCCATTCTTTTTATTCATCCATGAATAAAATCTCCGCAGAGATACTGGAGTGGTTTGTCATTTCCTTCTCCGGCTCATTTGACAAATGAGGAAACTGAGGTAGACCGGTTTAAATGACTTGCCCAGGGTCACACAGCTAGTAAGTGTCTGAGGCTGAATTTGAACTCTATCCACTCTATGCACTCTTATCCACGGCCCAACCCTCGATCCACTTTGCCATCTACCTGACCCATTCTTAATGGTCCAATTAATTTTAATTAAATTTAAGTCACTTTTCCATTAAGTCTTTCTTGATCTCTCCAGGAGAAATGGGTCTTCAGGCCCTGAGATCACAGATTATGCTTTTTGTATGTCTCACCTAGAATGGTGCTTTTGTGGCTTGAGGAGCAATAAAATCAGCAATTTATGGTTTTAGAAAGTTGCCTGGGACACTGAGAGGTGAGGTAACTTGCCCAGGGTCACAGAGCCAGAATTTGCCACAAGTGGATTTGAACCCAGGACTTTCTGACTCCAAAGGCAGTCCTCTTCTCCATAATCCACCCTGCCTCTCACCTCCCTCTCAGGCCCCATACAAAGTTCTCTTTCATATTATCATTACTTCAATTTCTTCTCAGCTGACCGGTTATGGTGCTAATATTCCACTGTTGAAGATTTTATCCATTTGAGTCTTGGAGATTCCCCCTCAGCAGTGTATTCTTCTCTTTTTGGTGAGTCCCAGATGCACCCCACAGATCTACCCAGGCCTCCAGCTGTACAGTAGTACCCTAAGGGTTAACAGGCTCTTCTGGGAATTGAAACAAACCTGAGGCTGTTAGAAAGGCAAGTTAAGGCCACCCCTGCCCCCAGGAACCTTCATAGGCTCCACCCTCGTAGTATAGCCCTAAATGTTTAAACTCCCCCTGAAGGATTCCCATGACTGGGGGCAAGACACACGTGGTGACCTAGCAAAGGAGACCAACGAGGAATTCTCAGATGGGCAGGAGGGGAACTATGAGAAAGCAGTGTCATGAAAACCCAAAGAAGAGTTATTATCCAGTAGGAGGTCAAGGGCTTAATGGCGTCAAATGCCGTAGAGAAGTCAAGGATGAGGACTGAGTTCGGGCCATCCAATTTGGCAATTAAGAGAACAGTGGTAACAGCAGGGCAGCCACTAGGGGAGATGGGGCACTGAAGGGGGAAATGTCTCGTTCCACCCTTTGTGGGGCCCAACCACGAGGCCCATGGAGAATCTTCTCCAACCAGCTTTGGACAGCCCATCTTGGACAGCCCTCCCACTTGTCTGAATTAGGGTCAGGAGAAAGAAGGTAGGCTACAGGTTGGGACCAGCCCCAGTCAGACTGTGAAGCGCATCCATAAACCACACAGCCAACACCACCTCCAGCGGGTGCTTCCCAGGG